ATATATATATATATATATATATACTTATCATTATAATATGATAATAATAATAATTTTAATAACTCATTTCTAATAACTGATTTATTTTATCTTTGCCATGATGACAGCATATAACATTATACTAGATATTTTTCAAGACACTTCTATACAGCTTAAAATGACATTTAAAGGCTGAACTAGGTTAATCAGGTTAACTAGACAATTTGCATGTTCTCCCCGTGTTGGCGTGGGTTTCCTCCGGGTTTCCCCAACAGTGCAAACACATACAGGTGAATTGGTTAGGGTAAAATTGACCGGAGTGTATGTGTGGGAATGAGAAGTTTTGAAGTTCACACATTTTAGTTCTGCGCTGTTCCTCTGTGATTTTGCATTGTTTATAAGGTATATCTTGTTTATTGGCTGTTCAAATGCTGATTTATGGTTCTATTTTTAATAAAATGCACTTGTTTGGTGAAGGATTTTGGCTGTATTTTTTTCTCTTCTGCTTGGTTATGGAGTCTCTGGATGACAGACAGTTGTAGTTGTCAGACTGTAGCTGGATTTCTCAGTAAACAGGTTGAGATTGAGAGCCGTGGCTGCTTTTTTCCTGCTCTCCTGTTTCATAATGTTGGAGCTCCCAGTTCTTCATCTGACCTCTAGGAGAAGAAGTCAAGCTGTCAACACCAGTGCAACACTGCCAGAGCCATAAACCCCCGAGAGCCTATACACACACACACACACTAAAACACTCACAAAAACACTCACACAAACATGCACACACACACATGCAAACACAATCTCAAACACATGCAAACACTCACACAAACATGCGCGCGCATACACAAACACACACACACACACACAAACACTTACACAAACATGCACACACACATGCAAACAGAATCTCAAACACATGAAAACACTCACACAAACATGCACAAAACAGAAACAAACAAATACACATACACACACACACACACACACATACAAACACAATCTCAAGCACACACAAACATGCACACACACAGAAGCAAACAAATACACACACACACACACACACACACACATATATACATACATACAATCTCAAACACACACACACAAACATGCACACACACAGAAACAAACAAATACACACACACACACACACACACATACAAACACAATCTCAAACACATGCAAACACACACAAACATTCACACACACACAAACAAACAAGTACACACACACACACACACACACATACAAACACAAGCTCAAACACACACACAAACATGCACACACACAGAAACAAACAAACACACAGAAAAAACAAACACACACACACACACACACACACAAGCAAACACAATCTCAAACAAAAAAGCCCCGCCCACTAGTGACCATCTCTCCCTCAGTAGCATAGGACGTTAGTCTTGTTTTTGAATCTGCCAATATGCTGACACAGGCTTTTGTAGCTCCGCCCTCTTCTGAAAAGAGCACAATCTCATTTGCATTTAAAGCGACGGTCACCAAAACTCCACTATTAGGATCAAAGCCTAAAAGGGTCCATTTTAGTAGAAAACATTATCCGTGTAGTATTTTGAGCTTAAACGTCACACACTCTATCACAATACACTTC